GGCCTTGCCGAGCGGCTTTAGCGCGGCGGCGCCCAGCGTGGGCAGCCGAGCGGCTCAGACAAAGGCCGAGGCGGCAGCCGCGCCCGGCGGGCCGCCCTGCTCTGCGGAGCTGATCCGGCGCGGGCCTCCGTGTGCATGACTCAGTGGTTTTGGGTGCAGGCGGTGCCGGGCTTCCCTCCGCGCCGCCTGCGCTCTGCAGGGTGGGGGCCGCTGGGCCCCAAAGCGTTGGAAACTGCTGGAATCCCGACCCCGGGCTCCTTCCGGCGGGTTTTTAGTTTTTCCGATGTCGTTGCGCTTCTCCCCCAAGATCCCTTTTCATGGAGGCGGCGGGGATTGTCTTTCCCTTTGTTCCCTGCATGTCCGCTGGTGAACTTGACATGTGTGGCTTCCCGTGCTCTCTGCAGCTGGATTTTGAAGGAGGCGTTTCAACAGTCTGTCGATTGAACCCTTCCCAAGACTATTATACGAGGACCTACTGAGAGAAAAGGATATGTAGGTCAGAGCCTTGTTCTGAAATCTGTTTAGTGACTTAGGGAGTCCTAAATAGAGATAAATTTTATCTTCTCATTTTAAAAGTAGGATTTCCTAGTCCCAGTTGGTGAAACTTAAAAGTGTCGCGCCCCAAATGAGTGATTTTAGTTCTTCCTTATTTTTTTGTTCCTCAGTCCTGGTATTAACCCTGGAAAGCTTTTTTAAAACGAGCTGAGGGAACAGATGTGGAGACTAAGGACTTGCCCAAGGTCAGTCTTAGTTTCAGATTAGAGCCTAAAACTCGAGTCTCAACTTCCAGAGGGTCTTGCCATTTTGTAACGATCATAAGCACCTGAAACAACGGTCCCATAATTTAAAAAAACAAAACAAAACAAAACCACTGATTCGGATTTTGAATCGGATTTTTCTTTAGTTAAGACAGCCAGGTTTGGTGGTTTTGCTTTTTTTTTTTTTAGGTCTGAGCTATAGAAAAACCGTGGAACTATAAAAAGCATATTCCAGTTATAGCTAGTAGAGCTCGTGCATGAATACTCGAAGTTTGAAACAACTTGGCTTTACCCTTTAGAAGAAAAATGAAAGGCCAACAGCCCTGTCCTGTCATAAAATGTAGGGATCATTTTTTGTCCCCCACTGTGCCTTACTCTTTTTTTTTTTTTTTTTAAAAAAAAAGATCAGTTTACTTCGTGATTACGCTTGGGTGTTTACATGGGAGCTTTGATTGTTCTCCAAACCCTCCCTACTTAAAAAAACCTGGAGGCCTTAATTGCATTTTATTTTGTTTTCTTATGTGAGATAAATGAATGCTGCATCTTTAGTTCCTGGGGTTGTGTAGGAGTTGGCAGGCTCTGAGATATAAATAGAAGCTGATTTCAGAGGCCCCTGTTGACTAGGCTTTATGTGAGAGCCTCCATCCAGCCGCAGCCTGTCACATTGCAGCCTTGTGACGGGGCTGAAGCGCCCTCCCATGTGATCTAGGCTTCTGAGAACTATTAAGGCAAGCTGTGCACATGTGATGGCATTTAAAAGCTAACTTTCCCGGGGACGGAGAATCTAAAACTGGGAAGCCATATAGAAGACTCATTTTCTTGGTGTTTCTGTTTATCTCAGTTCAGAATAAATAATGAAGGTAGTTGTGTTTTCTGAATAAGTTGGAATAATTGTCAAGGTGTGGAAGACTTAGTTGGGGGATCTCCCTCTTTAATCTTTTTCTCAATAATATGGGTTAATCTTTAAAATCCCCACATACTTTTAAAGGCAATGCCAAATGATACTGGAAGTTAGTGTAGTAAGCTAGCTCAGCATAACTCTTTACTGGGAATGACCCAAGTTTTGTGTAGGGCAAAGATCAGTGTACTGTGCATAATGAAAATGAAAATTCATACTTTTTGATTAAATCGTGTTACTCTCAACATTCAAAAACCTCAGCTAAAAGTTTATTAAACTTCATAAGTGGTGTTGAAA